AAGCCATATGCCAAACAGACATGTAACTGGAAAGCAGAGGGGACTTTTGGCTTGATAAGGTCCAGCAAACCATTCCTTGGTCAATGGTCTGGTTTTTGGCTTCCCCTCGAATTGCAGGGCTGTCATGCTGGCTCTCCATGAATGGGCAGAAAGACCATTCCTTACTCTGCCTCTAATTTGGGTTGTGAAGGGCACAGAGCATTTGACCTCGGTTTGTCAGAATACAAGCTGATGACTTCTGAGCAGCTTGATCCTGCAGGCTTGGGTTTCCTGCATGGAAGATTTATTGGCAAAACTTCAGCTGATAAAGGGAGCTTCAGGCAAGTAGTAATCAATCTCCTTTTTGTGAAGCAAAAATGAAACACATTCCCAAAAGAAACTTCACAGGGGAACAGCAGCATCCCACATCTGCTCGGTCGTCCTCTGGCGTTGTTTCTCCATTCACCCTGTTTTGCTGAGATCTTTGCTGGAAATCAAGGCTCTCCCTTGCCACTTGGGACCGGACTAGAACATGTAGGAAACACATCCCTTTCTTGGGTGCTGCTCTGTCAAACTGTATCCAAGACTGTGGCTCGAGTGTCTGTGCTCCTGCTGGTATTGAGCAGGTCTGAAAATTTCATAGTACATAGGGGCTGTCTCCCTAGACTGAGACTTGTGGGGTGCTTCATGTGCCTGATTATGACTTGCATAAAATCAGTCTTGGAAATTTGCTTGCATTAAAGACTTCAGGTGTTGTAAAGCCCTGCCTTATTTGTATTTCATTTTCTCTGGGTATCTATGAGTATTTGCAGGGGTACATCTCCAGAGCTTGCAGCATTTTAATCCTGCACCAGACTTTTACACTGAAACAACTAGTCTGCAAAAGGTGCTGAGGAATTTTTTCCCTAAAAATCAGAACAGGGGGAAAGGACTTTTCTGGGGAAGAAAATAGGAACACTGGAAGATTTTTCTGTACCTTTCTTTCAAATAGTGCAGTGTCCTCAGGCAGATGCTAAGCTAATGCTGTGGTAGAAGGGTCAGCTGGAAGGAAGGGATTTGATATGGCTGTTTTTTGAAGAAATAGCAAGTGTTCCCTTTGTTACGGTGCTTTGATCTGTTCAGTAACAGCCACGTAAGCGTGCCGCATTGCACTGGTCCTTCTGGAAGAGCCGAGGGTAGCCGAGCGGAGCGGCCAGCAGATTAGCAGTCAGAGCAGCAAGCAGGGTTTGTGGGAGCAGCTGCACGGCAGAAAAAAATTGACTCCATCGACTGCTGCCACATTTACTCTTCTGTGAGATATTTCAGCTTGTTTAGTCTGTGGGAGAAGCCTTAGGAGATGGTGATATGGATTGGGCAAAATCTCAAGGAAAGCCTTTTTGTGGGGAAAGCCCTACCGAAAGCCCTGCTGGGGGGGCTGGAGAAACGGCTCTCTGTGAACGCTCAGTCCCACTGGTCCCCAAAGTACAGTGGGAACTGGGAGGGAGGAGGCAAGAGCGGAGGTGGAAAGAGAGAGAGGGGTCTGGTTGTGTTGCATTCCGTTGTTCCGTGTTGATTGGGTTGGGTTTGGGTTTTTTTTCTGGATGATTGCTGCTTTCCTGTTCTCAGGCAGAAGCAGCAGGTCCTTCCTAAGCACAGAGTAGATCCCATGGACCGGCAGGCAGTGAGGCTTGGGGTTGGCAGGAGCACCAGGGAAACCAGCGGGGAAAGGGCTCCCGTAGCGGGGGAGTCATCGGACGGAGGTGCAGCGAGAGCAGGAGAAGCTGCCAGCAAGCTCTGGGTGAGGCACCCTTTACTTACCACCTCACAACGAGGTTTTCATGTTTAATTTCAATGAAAAAAGTCACTGATTTTAACTAATATAAAGCCGTTTGGTGTTTATAGAAGGTACTTTTATATGGAGTGTTAGGATCTACATCAAGCTGTAACTACAGAAGAGCTTTGAAAGCACTTCGTGTTACATCTGCTAGACTAAAGCTCTTTTCACACCAAGCTTTTTTTCTAGAAGTTAGAATATTGTATGCTTTTTAGGACTAAGAAAGCAAATCAGGATTAAATATTATCTTCACTTCATATACTGCTTAATTTAGCTGGGACTTAAAATGAATATGCTTTTTCTTTTCCTTTTATTTTTTTTTCTTAGTACATACCAAAAGGTTTAGTTTCTAATCCTAGTACTGATACAGAGCTGTTGGCAAGATACAAACATCCATAAGCGCTCCCTGCAGGTGGAGGGCTTCTGGTTTTGGCATAGCAGCAAACCAGACCATTCACAGTGCCTGAAAATCTGGAGGCTTTACTACAGCAGACCTTCTACCCTACAATTAAGTTAGGTAACCAGTGATTTGGAGTTTAGAAACAATCTCGATCAGATGATTTAGTTGAATTAAATGCTTGGACTCTGGTCTGCAAACTTCCAAATACACAGCTATTTGGAAATCCATGCAGAGTTTCTTAGTAACTGCCCATTTTTTTGTCTAACTCCTCAGTAACAGCATGTTTTTAAGGAGCCGTTAAAAACAGGGTTGGATTCTGTGTCCAACCAGGACTTTCCAAGAATATTCTGTCTTATGCCCCCAGATCGCAAGAGCACAAGACCTTTGTAATGAAATGCCATGATGCCAGAAGATTATTTACCTGTTCTGTGCCTATGGGCTGTGGGGGAGACTGACATAATATCATTCTCCCTGGAAAATATCTGCTTTTCCAGGGAAATAGGCTGTGCAGGAGTAGGGTACAGGAGAGCAGGGTACAGGGCTGTTGAGCAAGTTGGGCAGGACATTGGGAGCGACAGCTCGTATGGAACAAGAAACCAAGGGAAGCAGTTGAGTTGTGCATCTTGCTTTTCCCACCAGAGGAAAATCTGGGGACACTGAGATGTATTAATACTGCTTATTTAGGATTTTTTAAAACAAGATGGCATATTTTAAGATGACTCTTCTCCCTGCTGTACTGTCAGGGATGCTGGAAGCTGTGATGACGGCATTTTTTATACTGCTGACTCTGAAACCTGAAGCCAGCGTTCCGTCCAGAGCCTCTACTGTATGGCTGGGGTCCCAGGCTCGCTGCTGAGGTCCCCAACGGCAGGACGATGTATGTTGGCTCCCTTGGAGGGTACCCTGTCAGCCAGCCAACACAAACTGCTGGATGTCAGCATTCCCTCATTTCACTGAGCTCCTGGCAGGAATCCCAAAACACTTTGATTTCAACAGATCTCTGCTATTTGTCCTGGGTTTTAATCAAAACCTTTTTAAATGGAGAGAATGCCAGCCAGCCAAAGCTAGTCCTGATTTCTGTTTTCAGCTCCAACTCTTGGTAAAACCTCTGCCTGTTTATTCCTGTGTAGAAGTAGTGCCCAAAGTCTGTATAAAGCCAAATGCAAGAATAGGCAGTGTCACTGTCAAAAATACTTGAAAATAGGTAGTATGATACTCATTTCTCCAAGCTGTTGCAATGCTTTGTTAATCATTTCACAGTACTCTAAGCATAGGGTTTGATGTGTGAATTCTCACTCAGTAAAATCTGTATCAAACACTGACAGTCCTAGTGCCATTCATATTTATATTCAGTAATGATTCAGGCTCTTGAAAAATCATGTTCAAATTGCATGTTCTATAGCTTTAATTTCTGGTTGCTAACAAGGGAATGATTTGCAAATTCTTGTTTGTCCTCCTCTATGCCATAGCCTGGAAGCATTGCGCAGTTACCATGCTGAATTTTACAAGCAAAGCTGCCTTTTTTGTATTGTCTAGTTCCTAAATCTCATGGCTTTCAACATTTCTCTCTAAAAAATGCTTTTTGTGAATCTGAACATTTTATGCATATGTACACTAGTGTAGGATTTGAAGCAGATAAGCCTCTCAGAGACTCAATTAACATAGGACGGATATATATTTATTGCAGTAGTACTACAGGTCTAGCCCATGATGTTTGAGAACCATGTTGCATTCCTGTTTTTCCCCCCAAAACCCTCCTAGAAACCTATAACCAGAAAACTGTTTTGCTCAACATTGTTTATATAAAATGTTCAACTTCTGGCTCTGCCTGTCTCATTTGTGCTTCTTCTCTTCCCGTATCTTCCTTTTGCCCGAGATGAGGCTTTTTATTCTTTAGCAGCATCATTTCTTTCTGATTCCTTTGGAGAAATTACGATAGGTGCGGTATGGTAGGAGGGGAAGTAGGACAGAAAGCTGCATCTCCTTGTAGCTAAGCGCTGGGCGGAATAACAAAAGACTTGAGGAGTTCAAGGATGCTCTATGAAGATCCAAAAGCAATTTGAGGATGTTTTCCCAGAACCCATTTAGGCTGTCGCTGTAATATCTGAGCATATCCATTTTAGTGGATTTATCTTCCCGGTGCCCGGCAATAAGGTAGGAATGCTGTTGCTCACTTTGATAGATGGAGAAGAGAGATTCTGACTTGTCAAGGGTTATGTGCCAAGTCTGTGGTGATGTGAGTTGATTCTAGATCAAGTGTGGTTCAGGCTCCTTCCAGCCTCCTTAGGTTAAAAAAGGAGTGAACCTCTGACGCAGGAGAAACATGCAGTGCTGTGAAAAGGTGGAGAAACTGGGGGAGAAACAAGAAATAAGGGAAATACAGCTGTATTAATAGTCACTGTTGCGCTAACGGATCGCTAGTGAAAACGAAGTACCTTGCTGTTGCTGACCTCAGAGGATGCTGCTAAGTACTTTTAAGCACAGCTGTCATTTGTTTAAGGGTTTATTTCAATTTAATGCTTTGGACGGTGTAGTGTAGCAGTTGTAGGGTCACCCATGTGTCCTGTGTGGTGGTTTGCTACTGGATCTGGAGAGGAGAGATGGACCGCTGGAGTCAGTGACAGTCAACCAAACTGTTGCTGCTGACCATGAGACTTTGCTCATTTTCCGAGCCTTAAGTAAACAGGCCATCCTGTTCGTCCTAGATGCTCAAGAAACTGGTCAGTGTAGCACATGAACATACATGAACATGAACAGGGGTGATAAAATGTTGATGTTAAACTTTATTTCCTTACATTCTTGAAACAGCTGGTCAAAGGACTGCAGCAGGAGCTGAACCGGCTATACACTCTTTTCTGCTCCCGGAATCCAGAGTTTGAAGAGAAAGGAGGAAAAGTCTCGATTGTTTCCCACTCGCTGGGCTGCGTCATCACCTACGACATCATGACTGGCTGGAACCCCGTCAGGCTTTACGAACAGTTGCTGCAGAAGGAGGAGGAGGAGCTCGAAGACCGTTGGATGAGCTATGAGGAGCAACGTTTACTTGAAGAACTTTACATAACTAAACAACGGTAATGCATCCACTTCTGATTATTAAAGGAGAAAAACCTAGATGACACCCTTTGAGCGTTTCCAGAACCCACCATGGCTGTTACCTTTTGTGGCTGATGTTCTTCTGCTGGTGATGAATGGCAGTGGTAAATGCTAAACGCAGGACTGAGCAGGCACAGGGAGCTGGCACTGCTAATAGGAGCTCTGAACCCACATCCTACGTGCTGTACCAGAACCAAGCAACTAGCTCATTGACCAGATGCATTGGGAGTAGATCATAGCCAGGAAGAAAGGAGAAGGTCAGACCATTAGCCCTCCAGACACTTGAGGAGGAACACAACAAAGTAGCTTGTAGGTGGGCAGTGAGCTGTGATACTGAGCAGAACCTGAGCTGGGAAATTCCTAAGTTTCTAGAGGAAAATGAGAAGTTTCCTCCTAGACTCAGCTTGGAAATTGAGCTCCACCAGCTGGATACAGATGCTGTAATTGCTGTGATTGGGTTTATGGGGTTACTACTCTGCTGTGGATCATTTACCAGCTTCTTCCTGCTGCTGGAAGTGTTGGGAGTGTGAAGCAGCACTGCCCACTGTGACAAACACGATCTTGGTTTCAGCACTTTGCAAGTATTGGTGGGGATTCTCACTGTTAGGGGACTTTGCAGGTCATCATGATGTCTCCACAGTGTTAAGGTGATTTTCCTGTTCTAACCTGCCTATCAAGGTGCTGTGAGACACCCATAGATAGAGAATCTAATAACAGTTGCGTGAGCTTCAATCTTTCTAGTGGGAGGTGAGGTTAAATCAGGATCACAGTCCTTTTTGGTTCCTTCTTAAAACCTGTCTTAGTATTGGTAGCACTTTGGAAGCACTAATATAGCATCAGATCTCCCACAGTGCTTGAGATCAGTATGTGTGTAGTTGGGGATTGCTACAGGACATCTCTATCAGCTGTGAGGCTGGATAAAGTGCAGCCTTTCTAAGAGAAGGGAAATAAGAAACGTAATGAAGTTGTCCAGTGGTAAGACGACCCTTCAGGCATATCACTAGCATATGATCAGGAAAAATTACCATTCTCACACTCATGCTCCAGCTCCTTAGGCATCCTCTGAAGTGCTTCAGGTTGCATCCACTGTAATCCAAGCATCATTTGACACTGGTGCTTCTGTATAGCTAAGAGTGGCTCTCCATTTCGCCAGCCACCTTAGTGCAATTCAGTCTGAAATGACAGAGAATATACTGCTGACATCCTGTAACTTCTGGATTTGTAGTGTTTTAAGGATGGCAAACACATAGCAGATTTCTGGAAATGCTTATGCCTGAGTAGGGTGCCTTGCAGCATGTATAAATATTCTGCGTTGTAGAGCAACATACATACAGCGTGTGAGGGTGTGTATTGGAAGCATTTGACAGTGGTTCACAAGAGTCAAGAATTCTGCATGCCTTCTTTTCTAGGACTGAATCTTGCTCACTAAAGCATAGAAACCTTTCTGAAAGGTTTGAAAGGTTTGCTCTTTGGAAAGTTTCAGCTCCAGACTTGCTTCTTTCTAACCAGGATGGCAGAGGTTAAACTTAATGTGTTTGTTTCCGTAATGCTTTTGTGGAACTTGAGGAGATGGTGTTTTCCTGCTCTGAAGAGGGCACAATGCTGTAGGGCTGGGGCTGGACAGTTTAACCAGTCTGTATGGGGTGCTTTATATTGTAGCTGCTTTTTTAATTCAGGCTATCTCAAAGAAGAGGTGAACAACCTTTTTTAATGATAGTTGAAAGAGTGGAACACTGTCCTCTAGATATGCTATCACAATACAGAACTCCATAACGTTTGGGCCATGGAGTTTCCTGTGGCTGATTTAAAAAAAAAAAAAAAAAAAAATCAGCAGGTGATTTGGCTGCAAAAACACCAAGGAAACAGGAGGTGAGTCACCCACTCCTGAAGAAGGAGGGTGGGCAGATGCTTGGGGTGGTGAACAAGGAAATTGTCATGTCGTGGTTGATTCCTTCTGTGGTCAGAGAAACAGGATTTCACATACACTGATTCTTAATCAGTTGGACTGCATCCAGGAAGGACTGACACCATCACTCTCTCTTCCCAGCAGACAAAACTGTTGGACCCCACAGGAATGCCTGTTTGGGTCAGAGAGGTTAGGCTACGTTTTTTATTGGATCTCAGAAAGATCTCTATTTTCCAGGTTGAGAGAGATAGACGAGAGGTTACATGGGTTAAAGGCATCCACCATATCAAAACCACCTGTCTTAAAATTTAAGGTATGTATGTTCAAGAGGTTTTTACTGAATGTTCTACTTGCTGTAAAAATACACCTGCAATATGAGTTATTCGACGTACTGTTTTTTCCGTGTCCCTAGACGTGACGTTGGTAGAATAATTTTAATTTATTAGTTGTAGTGTCTGTACGTGTGTGGAAATGCGTTACTGTATTCATATATTACTATTTATTACAAATATATATGTTTACCTGTAAATACATAAGCCTATATAGATTGTATATATTATATAGATTGTTAATATATTACACACACATGTACACCCATGTGGGAAGGTAAAATCCGTTTGGCAAATCACATTGAACAGGTACCTTAAACAATTTAACTTCTACTTTGTTAACTAATTCATTTTCCTTGGGGACTATTTCTAACATGTCACATCTCTGAGCAAATCTGATTGGATTTCCTCCAGCAGTGGATTTTCCTTCCAAATTACACTGGTTTGACAGTTAGCACAAGTTACTTTTAGTCTTATAAAATAGATTGCTTGCTAATCAGCTGTATAAATGGCTACAATTTCATATCACTGGGAAAAGGCATTTTCTAGCTTCTTGGTGGGATGTGCAACACTTTCTAGTTGCTTGCCTGTATCCTGAGGTATTAAACCATAAAAATGTGACATGACAGATGAGAAGAAAATAGACTATTTTTTCTTAACTTGCCATTTTTCTTTCCTTCTGAGTTCAGAAGGACTCCTCGAAGCCAAGGTCAATGTTGAGCCATAAAAAAGAGGAAACTAACCATAATTCAGTTTGTCATAGCCTTCTCCTTTTCATCACTCCTTAAAAGCATATATCATGCTATTATCTCTGCCATCAAGGAAGCTGGAGTCAGGCTGATACTCCTCCAGCTCTGTGAAAGATTATTCTTCACTCAGTTGTGTTTAAACTGAAGATTTTTTGAACAGATGCTTTTTAGAGGGAGCAAAAAACGGGGAAGAAAAGAGGACTGTACCAGTCCAAATTACTGCTAGGTAATTTTCCATTGCAGTACATTCTTTTTCTTACCCTTTCTGAAAGGAAGATATTTTGTTTCTGTGAAGCTTTACACTAGTGACTCCCATTGCTTGAGTACTGTGCCTGAGACAGAGCTCCAGGGGAAGAGAGAGGCTTTCTATGGACATAATGGCAAGGTGCTTCTGCCAAGGGAGGATCTCTCTCAACAGGATGTCATTGAAAGATGATTGCTCATGAGCAAGCCAGTCCAGCTTACTGAGGGTGACTAGCTTGTTGAAAGAGAAGTAACTGCTTTGTAGGTACCAGCTACCTGCAGCTTGGCTTTTCATGGCAGACCAGAGCTCTGGTTTGATCATGAGTTGCTATTTACCATAAATGCTTGATCTGCAAATCACTTTGGTCTGTGAGATGCAGGACACTGGAGTCTGTGGTCACTGGTTTCATTAAGCTGTATTACACAACGAAATGGGCATGTACAGCTGTAATGAAAAACGCTAGCCACTGTCGATGTGTTCCTCTTCTATGGACTGAAATAAATTAAGCTTCCCAGCATGGGAGAAAGCCACTACTCCTATATTACGCAGAGTTAATGCTTGCTTGATGTTGAGCAAGCATAGAATCATAGAATCATCTGGGTTGGAAGGGACCTTTCAAGGCCATCTAGTCCAACTCCCCTGCCATGAGCAGGGACATCTTCAACTCGATCAGGTTGCTCAGAGCCCCGTCCAGCCTGACCTGGGATGGTTCCAGGGATGAGGCATCTACCACCTCTCTGGGCAACCTGGGCCAGGGTTTCACCATCCTCATGGTGAAAAATTTCTTCCTCATATCTAGACTAAATCTGCCCTTTCTTAGTTTAAAACTGTTACCCCTTGTCCTATCGCTACAGGTCCTGCTAAAAAGTCTGTCCCCATCGTTCTTCTAAGACCCCTTTAAGTCCTGGCAGCTGCAGGAAGGT